TTCTAAGAAGACTTCTCAATCTGAAATTTAGGTCAGGAAATTGGTGGAATTTTTTCCCTAGATAATTACGTAAAATTTGTGTGAGGGGTGTGCTGACCAAGGCCGATTTTAGCTGGGGTTTAAAATATAAATTTAATAAATGTAATTATACGGTTTCTCTAAGTTTTCTTACCCAATTATTTCACTTTCTCCATCAATTTGCGGATTAGTTTATTTTCCTGTCGAAATACAGGCATATATACTATATCGGTAGGTTACTTGACATATTGCTGACATATTACGTGACATATTACTATATCATTACATAAATAATTATTTATACAAGCTGTCCCGTGAAAAGATGTCAATACTTCAGGGCTAAATATTCTCATTGTCCATAGTCTATTTCTGAATTGTTTAGTTAACATTTACTAAACGTTAAAAATTTGATTTTTCGTTTAGAAATTATTAACCCCAATAAAAAATAAAATTAAATGGAAATAAAAACAAAAAGACTTTTTGGTACAAAACTGAACCTAACAAAGAACCAACGAGTCTTGCAATTCATGTCGACAGACGCGGTTGTAAACTCCTTCAACCTGATGATGAGCTATAAGCTTGAAATCCGGTCGTTGAAAACAACTAACAGTGAGTAGGAACTGTCTTTTTCAAAAGAGAGAAGAAAAAACAACAAGTTAAGATTTATCCCCGATGGGCTTTTACCCAAGGGGAACAAGGGGAATTTTTAAAAATGAAGTATATTCCGTAACTGTCACAACTAAGCACGACCTCGGCAATCTTGTGCTTTTATGAAAGAAGAGAAAACTTGCCAGGCAACAATACAAGGCTTGTATTCTTTAAGAAGGTGGATATTTTGAACTTATAATTTAATTTTTAAGATTTTGTTCTTTCTCTGATGTTCAACTTTTTACGAAAGTCTATGTATTCGTTTCGTTAATTTTGAATATAATTTACAACATTTTAATCATTAACATCTAAACCAATTGTAACCGAAAAATCAAATTTTTAGCAATTAACATTAATTTTATACTGGTGATAACTGACCTTTGAGAAATTAGGTACACATGATTAAAGCCTATTAGTATGGCCAACTTTTCTCTAGGCACCAAATCTGTTATTATTTACAGGACCAAGAAAAATCTTAATTATAAATTAGACAAAAACTTCGGAAAATCGTAAAAGTTCATGTTCCACCTGATTTTGTACTTTGTTTGCTTAAGATTAGAATAAAAAATTAAGATTATCTAGGATGTTTAATGCTCTTTCCATTGGTGTAATCAAATTTACAGCCGTATATTATTTATTGTTTATGAGTTGCAGGGGCTTTATGGTGAAAAGTTGTGAAAGGTAGACGAACTTAACACGAAAAGTTAAATATCTCGAATAAAACTGAGACACAGGCTATTCACAATAGGGACTTTATAGTCCCATTTGATGGGTTGAATAACCGCCTGAAGTATTGACGTCTATACGAAAGACACCCTGTTAAAAATCTCAAATTTGAAACTGAAAATTGAATAGTGATAGTTCCCACCTTAACTTATGTTTAAACATAATTAGTGATGTCACGTAGTATTAATTTAGATTCGTTAACCTGAAATTTAGAACTTTGTGTTTATTTTAAAGTATAATCGTATATTTATTTAGATATCGTGAGATGCGATCTGGTGTGATGTAGGTTTCAGAAAAACATTTTCTTTATCGTTTTCGGCACTCTCGACACGACACGCAAAAATGGCACAATTACACAGAAGACAAACACTTTGAGCCCTGAAGATGATCTCAATAAAGATCGAAACGTTGGGACGATAAAGAAAATGTTTTTCTGAAACCTACATCACACCAGACCGCATCTCACGATTTCTGAATAAATATCGATTAACGGTCACTAATCACCACACATAATCTTATAGTTTGGCAAGTATCTGGAGTAATATTTCTAATTTATATGATTTTTATTTTATTTTTGAGTATTAACATTTGAATTAGATATTTACTACTGATAATACAAACTAATAATGTCGAGATAAAAATATTGTCGGCAGCAGATGAAAATAAAATGAAGTCTTTTGTACAGCGTGTAATAAACTGGAAACATGTATATAAATATATATAAATATATTATACAAATAATATATAAATCTGATTGAATCATAGAAAACCTAAATACAATCGTTCTTATAATATTTATGTACTGCAAAACATAGTATTCGCTTTTGTATGTATTTTATGTTCACCTTTGGCTACCATGTACAAAGTACAAATTTCGTTAGTTATACCAGGTGATTATTTATAAACTACCCCATTTTATTTATTTTGTTTGGAAATATTTTAAAAAATAGTACTTGTCTTTGCATAATTTTTTACTAGAATCTGAAGACAAATTTTTTTTCAACGTACGGTAAGCCTCCAGGGCTCAGCAACTTTTTTTTTGAAATGGGAAGATACTAGGAGGTAAAAAAAAGGTACTATTGAGATAAATAAAATTTGAACTTTTTTTCATACCTTAATAACTCTTAAACGACAAACTGTGCAAGAAAAGTGCCCGAAGTAAATTCTTCTTTAAAATAGTCTTTGAATTTAATTCCGTATTCAAAATGATACCTTCCCATTTGAAAAAAAAAGTTCAACGCAAATTTAAAAACTATGTGTGTTATTTAGCGACAGATTTTTCAATAATTTGTTAAAATAGTGAGGAGCGGTTAGAAATGAAGTATTTTAGAAAAACACCTTTTTCATTTATTTGCCAATGTTTCGATATTTATTCCGGTCATCTTCAGGGCCTGGGTGAATTAGAAAGCATACGTTGATTGGAAAAAATAATTATCTAATGCAGATGTAAATAATGTAAATAATGTAAATATTGAACCAAATATTTCATACTCACATAAAGTGTGGTATTCTTGTGGTGTCATGTTGTTCCATAAGAGGATTTTAAGTTAATTACTAATTACTAATTCAATTACTTCCTAGTAACTTTATTCAGTTAATCCTAGTAAATTAAATTTTCAAAATGGGCACCTCCGCTCAATACAGAGCAAATTCCTATTATGAAATTCATTTCGCACATCACCGAAAATATCTGGCGTTAGGCGAATTAGCATTATCCCATCATCGGAATTGCGACGATTCAATTCTTTGGTTTGTGAGTAAACATTGAATAATTTCTTTGAGTTGATTCAGTGTTTGCTCACAAACCAAAGAATTTAATTAACTTAATGTTACTAGTAGGTAAACAAAAGGTATTATTGAGATAAATAAAATGTGAACTCTTTTTTTCAAACCTTAATCATTTTTAAACGACAAAGTGGGCAAGAAAAGTGCCCGAAGTAAAATCTTCTTTAAAATAGTCGTTGAATTTAATTCCGTATTCAAAATGATACCTTCCCATTTCAAAAAAAAAGTTGCTGACTCCTACTTTTTAATTATTTCCAAACAAAAGAAATAAAAGGGGGATAGTTTATAATTTATAAATAATCACCTGGCATATTGTTTTAGTACTCTTATAGCATCGACGCAATTTTAAAAACTATGTGTGTTATTTATCGACAGATTTTTCAATAATTTGTTAAAATAGTGAGGAGCGGTTAGAAATGAAGTATTTTAGAAAAACACCTTTTCCATTTTTTGGCCAACGTTTCGATATTTATTCCGGTCAACTTCAGGGCCTGGGTGAATTAAAAAGCATACGTTGATTGGAAAAATAATTATCTAACACAGAACTAGATAATATAAATTTTGAAACAAATATTCCATACTCACATAAAGTGTGGTGCTTTACTTGTTGAAATGTGAGTTTCTATTCTGCTGTTTTTATATGAAAAATTATACATAAATTAATTATAATTTTTTTTCATATAGTTTTGTTTATATTTTTCATCATTGCCATTTTTAATTATCTATTACCGATGTAAATAATATAAATTTTGAACCAAATATTTCAAACTAACATAAATTGTGGTACTGTTCTTGTTGTGTCATGTGGTTTTGTGTGAAATTGTTCTGAACTGTGAGTTTCTATTCTGCTGTTTTTTTATATCAAAAATTAAACATTAATTAATTATAAATTGTTGTTTTTTCATATAAAGCTTTGTTTATATTTTTCATCATTGTCATTTTTAATTATCTAATACAGATATAAATAATATAAATTTTGAACCAAATTTTTCATACTCACATAAAGTATGGTGGTCTGTTCTTGTTGTATCATGTTTTTTGTGAGAAATCGTTGTGAAATGTGAGTTTCTATTCTGCTGTTTTTTTTATATAAAAAATTAAACATTAATTAATACAAATTGTTGTTTTTTCATATAAAGCTTTGCTTATATTTTTCATCATTATCATTTTTAATTATCTAATACAGATGCAAATAATATGAATTTTGAACCAAATATTTCAAACTAACATAAATTGTGGTACTGTTTTTGTTGTGTCATGTGGTTTTGTGTGAAATTGTTGTGAACTGTGAGTTTCTATTCTGCTGTTTTTTTTATATCAAAAATTAAACATTAATAAATTATAAATTGTTGTTTTTTCATATAAAGCTTTGCTTATATTTTTCATCATTGTCATTTTTAATTACCTAGTACAGATGTAAATAATATAAATTTTGAACCAAATTTCATACTCGCATAAAGTGAGGTGCTCTTCTTGTTGAAATGTGAGTTTCTATTCTGCTGTTTTTATATGAAAAATTAAACATTAATTAATTATAAATTATTGTTTTCATAGAAAGTTATGTTTGTATTTTTCATCATTGTCGTTTTCATAGCCTTCCCAAAATTTGACCAGCCGCCAAAACGCGTACCTGAAGACCGTAAATTAGATCTTAGCATAAGAACATAGTTTAAAACGCCTCCCCGTAAAGGATGCTGGAAAAAATGGAGGCGAAGTATTAAAAAGAAGGAAAAAGAAGAAGGAAGCCACGTGAGCCTCGGGTGGGGTGAGTAAATCCCCGAGGCGGGCTGTTGCGTCCCTCGAGAGTCGGGAGGCTCCCACTTCACACGGCTTCAGTAAACTTCGGGCGCCCGACGAGGTAGGATGTGCTAAGTATGACGTCCGGACAACTACACATTCAGCCACAGCATACGATGGAAGTCGGCAACAGCAACCAGGTACGAAGACTAAACCAGCCTACGACCAACGGCAATCCCTCGACATCGGTTGTCATTAAAAATGAGGTTTAGAATTTTTTTTTTTTAATTCTTCAAATGACTATCGACTTCAATAAAAACAGGCATGATATAATAACACAACAAATATTTCTTTTCTTCACTAAAATTTTCACGACTATCTTACACAAAAGCAACAACATATCACAAATATTCAAGCTTTGCCATTGAAAAATGATCAATTTAAAAAAATCAAAATGTAAACAAATTTTTTTTTAAATTGTTCATTTTTGCTTTTTCTTGATTAAATTTATTTTTTCTAATACACTAATGCAAATATTTTTTTCTGTTAAGTTTACACATATCGCTTTCTTTCTTCGATATATGAACCAATTAATTTTTCATAATGTAAACGTATATTTTTTGAATATTTTAATGCAGGTGAAAAATTATATGTGCCAAGATTATTATACATTACTTTAAATTTGCTTTTTATATCTAAAAAGTTTTCAAAATATTATTTTCGGCGGGGAACCTTTCGGTCATCCTTAGACATTACGTTTACTTAATTTCTGTAATGAACGGGCTTATTTTTTTAATTGTCTAATAAAAAAATTAAAATATAAACAATTTTTTTAAATTGTTCAATTTGACATAGTTATGATTTTTCTTGATTAAATTTAGTTTTTCTAACAAACTACTGCAAATATTTTTTTTTCTGTTAAGTTTAGTTATCCATACCGTTTTTTTCCTTCGTTATATGATCTAATTAATTAAACAAAATGTAATCATGTTTATTTTTTGAATATTTTTATGCAGGTGAAAAGTTATAATATGTGCCAAGATTATCATACATTACTTTAAATTTGAATTTTTTTTAAATCTAAAAAGTTTCAAATATTATTTTCGGCGGGGAACCTTTCTGTCTTCCTTAGACATTACGTTTACTTAATTTCTGTAATGAACGGGCTTATTTGTTTAACTGTCTAATAAAAAATTTAAAATATAAACAATTTTTTTAAATTGTTCAATTTAACATAGTTTTGATTTTTCTTGATTAAATTTAGTTTTTCTAATAAACTACTGCAAAATTTTTTTTCTGTTGTTTAGTTATCCATACCGTTTTCTTCCTTCGTTATATGACCTAATTAATTAAACATAATGCAATCATGTTTATTTTGTGAATATTTTTATGCAGGTGAAAAATTATAGTATGTGCCATACACTACATTAAATTTTCATTTTTTTTTTGTTGTAAAAACTTAAAAATATTGTTTTAGGCAGGGAAGCTTAGACCTTATTTACTTAATTCTGTAGTGAACGGGTTTATTGGTTCAATTGTCTAATAAGTCGTACGATTTTTATTACTATATTTAAACAATTTTATTTATATTTTCCTTACATATTCATTTTTACTTTCAAGTTTGTTAAAAAATAGCACCTTTTAAACATAAGTTTTTATCTTATTGCAATTTATTTTATGTATGATACTCATGTTTCTTTAGTGTATCAATATTCAATAGAATCAATACTGTTGCAGTCCATGGCAATGTTTGAACTAAGTCGGTCTTCAAAGAAATCGTCCGAGAAAAACATTGTTATGACAATTTGTATACGTATTTAAGGTTGTTTTGCCCTGATGATGACCTTGAAAATAGGTCGAAAGCTTGAGAGTAAAAAACTTAATTACCTTTTTCATCAAGACTATACCATGTTCCAGAGTTTTCGCGCATTAGTGTATTATTATCCGGCATAATTTTTGGAAGGAATTTTTTTTTACGTTGTTATTCTTAATTTATACGTATCATTTTCTTCCTTTAATATATGAATACTAAATGTTGATATTTATATTTGTTAAATTCTAAATTTAAACATTAAACCCCACCTAATTAATAATAAAAATATAAATAAATTCTCTATTTTTCGTGGTCCGCTTGAGCAATTAATATAATACATAAATATTGAATATAAATAAAGTTTTTTCGCTTTGTCTTTTGACGTTTAACTTCGATTTATGTCCCCTAGTAGATTACCGAACGTAAATTTCAATCATAAATTACTTTTGCCTTACATTGGCACCAAGACGTATTTTGATTATTCATTTCTAGTCACAGAAAGTAATTAATTAACAAATGATATACTTTTAAATTGGAACTATCCAGTTGGTGCTCTAGAAAACAATTTGACATCAAATTTTTTCCTTGACATTTGAATAAATATGTGAATATTCATAGACCTACTGCATAGTTCAAACCATTTTCCTTCCTGTTATCTTTAGTTTTACATTTTTCTTTCGATATATGGGTTTTTTTAAGCAATAGCGTTTTTACAGGCTAATCTTGATATTGCGTTTTCCGATTGTATACATAAAATTTAATATTATCCTATTTGTATTTGTTAAGATCTTATGTAAAAAGGTAGATGTGCCTATGACTTAATTTGTTTGACGGTGTGGAAAAAAGGCCAGTTTGATAATATTTGTTATGGTTCATACATCGTGTTTTTGTTGGATTAATAATATTTTAAAGCCATAAAAAACTAATATCTATGAACAATTACTCGTTTTATTTATTTTGAATTCAGAATGTGCGAAAGTTTATTTCTCTCTCTGTCTCTGTCTGTCTTTATGTCTGTCTCTCTCTCTTTCTTTCTCTCTCTCTCTTTCTCTCTCTCTCTCACTCTCTCTTTCTCTCTCCCTCTCTCTCACACACTCTCTCTCTCTCTCTCTATATATATATATATATATANATATATATATTTTGTTCCCTCTCCCTCTGCATTATTTTCCAGCTCCCCTTCTCACAATATTTCCTTTACTTTTCTGTTAACTCTGTATCATTCCTTTCATTTTAAACTCTCTTATTCTTTCCTTCACACACTGTATATTTCTTTCAGTCTCTGCTAGCAACTCTCCCATTTTCTTTTCAACTCAGTCTCTATCTTTTTCACTCCTTTTCACTTCGTTCTTTTTCTTTCCTTCCCACTCTTCTCGCTCTCTTTCTTATCTTTCTTTCCCACTATCTATCTCCCTTTCTTTTATTTACTTCTCGCTCTTCTTTTTTCCTTCTCACTTTCTAATAATTTTTCTTTCTAAACTTGGCCTTTTTCTTTCCCTCTCTTTTTCCTTTGCTTTTGTTCTTCCTCTCCCGCTAGATTTTTTCCTTCTCTTTTAAATCTCCCATTTTCAGTCCATCTATGTTTCTCTGCCCTCTTCAGTATCTTTTTTTCTCTTCCCTCTACTCTCTGTGTCTTTTCCTTTCCTACTCTACTTTATTTTTCAGCTCCATTTCTCAAAATATTTCGTTTTCTTCCCTTGTAAACTTTATCTTTTTCTTTCCCTCTAGTTCCCTTTTTTTCCTTCTCCTTTTCTTCCCGTTGAACCTTTTCATTTTCTCTCTATCTTTTTCTCGTTTCTTCACTATTGTTCTTTTTCTTTCCTTTTCTCTCTCTCTCTCTCTCACTCTCTCTCTCTCTCTCACTCTCACTCTCACTCTCACTCACTCTCTCTCTCACTCTCTCTCTCTCTCTCTCGTTTAAAAAGCATGGCATTATTCTCACCTAATCAATAAACCTGATGGTTTAACTCTATATTTATATTCTATTGTTTTTATTTTGAAATTTTGTTGAATTTTATTTATCTTGTTATTAGGTATAGTAAACCATCTAACAAAAATGCAAATTTTTATGACAAAAGTTTTATTTCGTGTTTATTATTTTAACAAAATGTCTCTCAAAAGTAATATTATAAATTTAATCTATTTAAGAAACTTGACTTCAAACTTTTTTTTTACTTTGGCCAAATTGTGTCGTATGATAAATTATGCCATATTTTTTCTCTTTTTTTTGTAATCTTATAAGGTAAACTTTTCAGGGTAGATTTTTGGGAAAATTGGATAATTCAAATTCATAAAGTACTACTACCTAAGCCCGACAAGTTTTCTTTCTAAGGATAAAGTTTATTTTTCTTAAATTATTAAACATAAATTGTTGAACTATATTTAACGATAGTTAACTGTTATTATTGTACATTTTTAAGTTAATTGCGTGATAATATATATTTGAAATAACCATAGAAATCAAATCGTTGATTAATAATTTTATTAGATATTTTAAAAATAAAACTACACAAAAGTGTTGGAATGTTTGAAGTGTTGTTAAATTTGAAAATATATTTGACTTTGTACAGACATATCCTTTTATAATTATGATGATATATATATCCTCTTTTTAAACTAGATATAAATTTAAAAAAAAATTGTATGTCTAGTTCGTTGATGGATTGTTTATAATTTCTGTGACAGTGTTTCGATCACAACACACCCACAAAAAATACCAGTTTCATGTTGTCTTTCCTGGTGCAATTTTGTACGGATATCACATTTCAATATTCCGTTTATTAGCCGATGTATTTGACCAACGTTCAATTAAATTATAAACCAGGGATGACATTGTAAGACGGCAAAAACCGAAACGTTTCCAGAATGATTTAATCAATGACGCGGTTTTGCCAGCTGGGACTCGTCAGTTCCACATGGTGGATTCAATTTTCCATGACATTATAAAAATAATTTAATTGGCGGATTAACACTGTCAATAATTACGTCTGACTTCGAATTACATTTGGGTGGGGTTGTTGTCAAATGAGAAATAACAAGTTTTGTTGACTGTTAGTATTGATGTTTTTGTCTTTTCTTTTGTTAAAAATATTTATTTATCTTTAACCACGCGGGTTGCCGTCAAGGGAAAAGGAAATATCCAGCTAGCGTTGAGTTGATGAGCACTAGCTAAAATTTAATTTTAAAAATACATTGATTTCCCCAGGGAAGGTGACTGGACATTCTTGGGTCAATAAAGATGGTTTAATGGCAGTGGTTTCGTATTTATTTCATCTTTTTATACCTTGATTAATTCTCGTCTTTATCCAATTTTCTTAGTAATTGTTTAAATTTCATATCCGCCAGTGCTATAGGCGTGCATTAAAAAAGTCTCATAAAATCAATTATTCCTTAAATAATTACATTTTTAGTCTATTATTTATTTTTGTTTTGTAGTCGTGAGAATATTTTCTA